GGATAGTGGGGTGACCAGGACAGCGGCAGCTGTGGAGGAGGGGTGTGCATAGTGGGGTGACTGCTGAGGACAGCGGCATCTGTGGAGGAGGGGTGTGGATAGTGGGGTGACCAGGACAGCAGCAGCTGTGGAGGAGGGGTGTGCACAGTTTCAGTCTGAGTCCAGGAGGTAAGCTGTGTGTTCTGAGGTTGGCAACACTAGCAAAGTGAAGCAGCCAAGGCCCCCTGAAGCCCAGACAATCGATCTGTGAGTAGGTCCCAGATGTCAAGCAGTGAACTTTTGATACTACTGAATTTGGGGTATTGATTTGATTTTGAATTTGATACTCTGCTCTGGTTCTTCCATTTTAGAATAAGATGTTATAAGAGCCTACAGTCAAAAGACTTTGGATATTTTAAAGAGATGAAACTTTTAAAGGTGGTATGACTTTCAAAGTTATACTATGCTTTATGCTGTGATGATAATATTAACGTGACATCTGGGGACAAACAAGGAAGGAAAGCTTACGGTTTAGTCATGATGTGTTTATATGTCAAGTTGACAGTGGTTCAATTGTGTTAGCTTTTTGTTACCTTGACACAAAGCTTCTCAGATGCATCTAAGAAGAGAGAGCCTCAGCTGAGAAAATGTGCTCCATAAGATAGATGGGGGCAAGCCTGTGCAGCCCTTTTCTTAATTAATGACTGATGTTGAAAAGGCCAGCCTACTGGGGATGGTGTTACTCCTGGCCTGGGACTGTATACCTAGGGGTCATATAAAAAAAGCAGACTCAGCAAATCTGGGGGAGCAAGCCAATAAACAGCATTCTTCCCAAGCTTCTGCTTCAGTTGCTGCCTCCAGGTTGCCGCCTTGAGTTCCTGCCTTGACTTTTCTGCATGGTGGACTATAAGCTGATACAAACCCTTACTTTCCCAAGTTGCTTTTGATCACAGTAATAGAAACCTAATTAGGACAGTGGTAGAACACTTGTCTAGCATGCATAAGGTCCTAGGTTCAATCCCTAGTACTGATAATAATATATTTAAAGAAATAAAAGGATTATACAAGAACTACTATTCCCTGACATTATTATGGTTGTTAAGATTTGTTTGTCTTATGTATCATAAAACAGAAGTTTAGCATTTCAAAATAGTTTTGGTAGGTGGTAAGTTCTAAATAGGAAAGAGACAATTTATCAACTCTTTAAAATGATAAAAGTACAAGAACTTGTCAATAACATATGAACTTTTACTAAGGAATCCTAGCAGATAAATAGGTCATCAATATACATAGAAATTTGAAAAGAAATGGACATCTGTACCTCTGTTGAGTATTCCATATTCAGAATGAAACACACCAATTAGTTTAGCATAGCCTTGATTGACATGGGCATTTACTGCTCTTTCAAATGCCTCACCCCATAGAGCTGGGCCACCAGGTTTCATAAGAAAAGTAACGAGTTCATAGACTCCTAGAATATGGAAAAAATAATTTAAATAATGACAGTCATAGAATGTCTACTCACATTCATATTCACTTGGTTTCATGAGAAGCTTGATCTACAAGTACATATTTGAAGGACTGCACATATACACATTTATACAGATGCAGTAATGCTCTCTGCATTAGTTCCCTTAATTTTATGCTTAGAAATCCCTTGTCCATGTGGAAACTTATTTATGCTATTAAACTTAATTCCACGGGTGAGAAAAAGTAGGGGCAAGTGAGGACTGGAGAGATGGTTCTGTAGTGAAGATATGTACTGTTCTCATAGAGGGCCAGGGCTCAATTCCCAGCACCATGTCAGGAAGCTCACAACTGCCTTTAGCTATTTACTAGCTCCAGTGTATCTTACACTTCGTTTTCCACAGCAGGAATATGCACTCGCTGTACACACACACACACACACACACACACACACACACACAGAGAGAGAGAGAGAGAGAGAGAGAGAGAGAGAGAATGAGTAAAAAATAGTTTTAAGGAAAGAGCTAGGTAGGGCGGTGGAGCTGCATGCCTTAATCCCAGCATTCAGGAGGCAGAGGCAGACGGATCCCTGAGTTCAAAGAGTGAGTTCCAGGACAGCCAGAGCTGTTACCCAGAGAAACCCTGTCTCTAAAAACCAGAACAAAAAATAGAAACTATGAATATATTATTGTCTGAAATATTTAAAAACTTGTTACTAAAGTAGATATTGAGAGATTAGCGGAGAAGATATTTTGATGGCTTGAGGGTATATTTTTAGGAAAGAACGTAAATAATTTTTCATGGATTTGGAGAGGTGGCTCAGTGACAGAACACTTGCCATCAATGTATAAAATCCTTGGTTAAAACAAAATAAAATAGAATTTTTCTTCAGTGCCTATGCTTTTAACTCTTCCACTTCCACCATTTTTTCTTCATGTTCTTTGGCACTGTGTGTTTTCATAGCCATTAGGAAGAGAAACAATGTAACAGAAATGATGTTTATATTTCCGTATTCTGCAAAACAAACCACCATAAAGATATAATTTTATGGTTCTTAAATACTTTGGCTACATATTTGAAATGCACTTTATCTCTACACAGAAGTATAAATCAGCAGAGGCAAAGAACGAGGTTGCAAGTAGTCTAATGAGAGAGGACAACTATTTTATTGAGATAGTGCTGAGAGCTAATAAGAGGCCCACGTGGGCAAAATTCATCTAGGGCTTTTCAGGTCTCTTTGTAGTGTCATCTAAAACATACTACAAAGTTGAGAACGACAACAAAAAAAATTCTAATTAGTTTATGCTTTTCTAATCTGACTTCTAGTTAAAATTAGACTGAGGTCATAGTTTCTTTAAATACATAAGAAGTAAAATCAGCAAGAAGACAGAAAATTATTTTCAAACTGAAAGAAAGAGGAAGACAAAAATTATTCTAGTACTAGAGAAATTCCACTTAATCATTGGCCCCAAATTTGTTTTGTAAAAAAAAAAAACAACATAGATAGTGAATTAAAATTGGGTGTAATTTATAAATATATTTAATATAGTAAACATAGCTATATTCATGTAGATATATAAAATATAGTTATATTTAAATATGAATATTGTTTTAAAACAATGATAGAATATGATATATGAGCTCTTACCAACCCACCAATGGACTCTGGCTCTCAATATGCAGTTTTCCGCTACTACTGCCCATGTGACATTTTCTGTAACATAGTTGAGGTTTACCAACCTTCAAATGGGAAGGTGTCCCCATTAGTCCTCGCTCTTTAAGGATAAGTGAAGTGCTGCACTTTAGTTTGATTTCAACGATCACTTATGCCCTCTATAAAAGGGAGAGTCCCTGCTCTTAAAAGTACATTAGAATATAACATCTGTACCATTGCAGCCACGGAAACGCAGAGGCTAAGACAGACGCACCTTCCTCTGGAGGCGTTCCTATTTTGCACCATGGTACCAGATAGGTAATTTCACTCTCCTGTTTTTCAATGGAAGGCAAATTTGGAATGAAGAATTTTTCTTGCCATTCTGGATCATTGGCCAGGGCTTTGACAACTGCCGCTCGATGAGCAAAATTATCTGGTAGAAAAGAATGGAGAAACGTCTTTCAAAGCTAGTTCCAAGCCATCTATGCTTCTCTGGCTTACATCTGGAGGACACAAGAACAACGTACTGTGGCGTTGGGAACAGCGATGTCACACCAAGTGGCTCCTGGTCTTCAGGGCAAAGGAAATGGAAACCACTATTATGATCTCATCGAATGGGCTTCACAGGTTCTACCTCCTCAAAGGTAGCTACCTACAGAAGGTCAATTACCCTCTGTTCCTCTGCTTTTTTTTTTTCTCAGTCTGTGATAGGGGAAAATGATGTAGCATCAACCTCCAGGTTTGTGCTGAGGATTAACTGAATAAAGAGGGCTTACAATAGTGCTCGACACTTACATGCAGATTGATCTTACTATGCAGTGGAGGTATTTAACTGGCAGTGTCAGCTGAGACAAATTTTACTTCAGTGTTGATGGTAATCAGTCACACACACACAGTTTAAATGTACTTGGCATCATTTCCTTTGCATAAGCAACTTCCAAAGAGACCGTGCTGATTCTCATACTATTGTTTCTCCCCAGCACTGCCATCTCTGCCTTCCCAGTACTGACATGGGTAGACATGTTCAACAATGTATGGGCCTAGTATATATTTATGGGAAAGGCGTCACGAGACTAAGGTAAATTATTTACATAGTTTGTGCTAGGGAAAGGAATAACACGTGCCTGAAGTGCGGTCAATTAGAACTTCATGACTTTCCCCAATGGGCCATGACTTAACATGAACCACGTGTGAAACAAACGTTGCACTAAAGGTGTTTGCTTCAACAAACAAAGCCGAAGAGACAAAAAGTGCACCCAAGCCATCCACAGAATCTTTTCTCACTAAAGAACTAATTGAACATTGGTGACCGAACATAAAATGCAATTAATTAGTAAGAGTTTGCTGAACGTGACCAAATCCTGGTGTAGGCTAATTTAAGATTAGACCTCTAAAAAGGCTAACAAGCATGTTGAAAAATTTTGTAATGGTCCCCTTTTTCCAGGCAGTGCAGTTTCAGTATGAGAACGTGTATGTAGTAATGTGTTTCCCTTAACTTTTTAAAGTAAGATGACAGCGAATTCATTAAAACTCTGGGATGTCGAAATGAACTGGAAATAGTTTATAAATGCAATGGAATCAATAAGCTCAGGGTTGGGGAAGGTCAAAGGTCCACTGCCATTCCCTCTCAACCTCCATTCACTCCCAATCCTGAAGGTGTGAACTGCCCCCACTAAGACACTGATATCCAGGTCTAGCACCTGATACCTCTTTCATTCTGTGATCTTAACTTGGACTCATGTAAGCAGTTTTCAGTTTTGCATTAAAACATTTTTTTCCAATAAGACACTGTAATGTAGCCTAAAATTTAATGAATTGATAGATAAGAACTCTTAATTTCTCAGTTATGTTAGACTTTGAGCTATTAAATGTGAACCAAGAAGAGGAGTCACTGAATTTACGTTTGGCTCTGCATTGTTTTTTTTAAAAAAGCTCTCCTTAATCTGTGTCTATACGAATGTATATCCATCTAAGACTCCTGTAGTATCTACCCAAATAAAAATCTATATGGAGCATTTGAACGTGGCGACTCATACCATACTTCCAAATATGGAATACTCGGTCTATTCTGCCTCCAAATTCTACACGCCAATAGCCAACCAATTCAGAGTAAGTTGTCCGAAGATGAATATTTTTCTTAAAATTTTGCATGAACTCTTTCATCTTCGAGGGTTTAAGGTAATAAGTACAAAACTCATAGAATGTTCCTTCGACTTGTCTTTGGCCAGTAGCAAAAGATGAGCACACCTGAGAAAAGATAAAACAAGTCTCAGTATTTAGGGGAGGGCAGAATTTGTGTTATCTCCCACCCAAACCTGGGTCTGGTGACAGAGGACACAGTAGCCGGTTCACAAACCCTACTGCATTTCTCTCATCAATGCTCCACAGATGCAGGTTAGTAGGTTTTAAAGATAACCATGGTTAAACGGGTATTCTCCTCAAGCCACCTCTTCAAACTATGGCATTGCTGGCTTAGAGCAGCTCCTGTGCCGGAGAGCCACAGGTAGGATCCACGTGCGTTCTATTTTCCCTTCCGCTCTCTTCATCTACAGTGTGGATGACGACAGTGCTGTATCCGAGAGAACTCTGGAGACTGGATGCCTTTGGCTATACACAATGAACGTGTTTACTAAAAGAAAACTTTTTGAAAAAGGAGAAACTGCCATTCATGTCGAAGAATCCTTCCTCATCCAGCAAAAACAGAGCTGGAATGCAGTCGATGCATTAGTGTGCTTCACTATCCAACTGCATGACAAACTTTGGTGATAGACCCGTGGTCCTCAACCTCCCGAATGCTGCAACTTTTAATACAGTTTTTCATGTTGTGAACCCAACCATAAAATTATTTCATTGCTTCTCCGTAACTGTAGTTCTGCTACTGTTATGAATCGTAATATAAATATCTGATATGCATCCCCAAAGGAGTTGACCCACAGGTTGAAAACCACTGTAATAGATAATGAGTGCTAAAAAATTGCCAGAATTGCCTAAATCACTATTAATTTCTAACAAGAAACACAAAGCAAAGATGGCTTTAATGCACTTAGTTGTACGAATGTTGTAGGAAAGCCTTGCAGGTATTTTCGGAAATGATCATATTTCTAAGTTTCTAGTTGTTGTTGTAAAAGCACTTTTCCCTGGAAAAGATTCTGTCAGAAATCACCTTGTGTATGTCTGTACATATGTGTCTGTATATGAATGCACATACTGTATGACCCTGCACTATAAAAACCGTTTGGATTTTCAAGTTGGGGTACTACGCACCCATTTCATGAAGCCAGGAAAATCTGCTAAAGCACATCAGATGAGTATAAAAGTATGAAAAAATGACTGCATAAATGGACTGCTTAGTATGGATAGAAAAAGTAATCTTTTCCCTCTTGGTAAATTTTTGATTACAAAGCACTTTATCGTACATAAAGCTTAATAAAATTTTCTCCCTTTAGTTCATTCCACTGATACCTACTCTGAACTGTATTCTTACCGCACAAGTCAGTAAATTTTCTACAAAAATCTGCAGCTGTCTCTGCATTTGATGGACTTTGTGTGTGTGTTTGTGTGTTTAACCAAAATCTACAAATGGGATTATTAGAACTGCTTACTGTCTATAGTTTAAAAATAAATAAAACATCAGAAAGCGAGCCAAAGACAATCACAACAAAACTTTATAGGTTGATTCAAAGAGTGAGTGTGCATTAGGAGAATGAAATATTTGTGGAAGGCACAAAGTTTTGTTAGTATTTCCATGACATAATACACGGGAGGGAGCCTACAGAGAGGAGCGAGTGGAGAGAAACGATTTTTAAGATTTCTGTGGCAGAGTCAGAATTACGCTGGGGAGAAACCAGCTTCATTATGTGCAACTTAGACTTGTTCTTGCTAGCACTGACTCATTAAAGACAAGGTTGGCTAAAAAATAAAAATAAAAATAGAAACTAAGTTCAGCGAAGCCCTATAAGGAAATAATTGGTGGCTTTGCATGGGCAACGCTGGGTGAGCAGTCACTAGTCTCTTCTTCAAGGTTTATCAGGCTCTAGACCAACTTAATTCCCTCTCCTTGGGTTAAGTCAAAGTCCCGGCCGCAAAGAACTGGATTCATCCCCAGGATAAGCCCCTGCTCAACAGCTACAGCTGGATGGTGGATCTCTTTGGCACAGGTCTCATCCCATCTTAGTCGCTTTCCGGAGGCTCCAGTCCTGCCCTAATGGCTGGGCGCCCCAGACATCGGAGTATCAGCGCCTGTGTCCCCCACAGCTCCGCCCACCTCCCTGCAGGCCGAATCCCCTACCTGTGGCGTCAGTGCCCGTGGGGCCAGCACCTTCCTTAGGCAGCTTCGAAGCGCGAGCATGGCCTGGCCTGGAGTGCACGGGAAAGACCGCCGTCGGGTGCTGGGGCTCCGGTTAGGTCCGCGCTGGGCTGGGAGCAGCTCAAGGCGGCGGCTCTGCCCCTCTCCTTCTGTGCGGTCAGCTTCTACCCTTTGCTCGGCTTTTGTTCTGCAGAATTCGGGTCCTGACGTCAGAGGTGATGTTGCAATTAGCAGAACCCTGAGCTCCTAGCAATTCCACACCCTGGGCCACCGCTGTAAGCCCCCTAGGGTACTAACTTCAAAATGTAGGTCGCAGTGTGGATGGATGTACATGGGTGCTCTAAAATTTCGGGGTGAGGTGACCTAGGACAAGAACCAGGAAACTTCACCTTTACCTCAGAATACTCAGCATCCTTGTTGACCCCCCACAACGGGACCTGAAAGGCTCTGAATAAAGGTTAACTGTCCTAGTGCCCAGAACATTGGGTCCACATGCCTGAAACGAGACCTTCACAGTCATATGCAGAGGGACCAAAAGGAAATTGCTCTGTGGTACTTGAAACAGCGGACCTCTTTGGTACTCCCTGTTTGGCTGTTGGTGCCCAGGTTAACTTCATCTAACATAACTGTTCCCTCCCTCTCCCCTCACGGTTATGTCTCTGTTAGGTATACTCCGCTGTTTTGAAGTTTTCTGTTTACAGATAATGTCCTTTTACTAGAAGGATGAGAATTTAGATCACCTCAGAGCATGTGCCTCCTGGCATCTCCAGCGTTTAAAATAATTACTTCATTAGTCTACATTAAAATTTATGACTCTTCTTGCTAATAATTGCTGCATACATTTAAGTGACATTTCTTATATCATGAGAGGCAGGGAAGAATTAGAGGCTTATCAAGTATGGTTTTATTGGGGTGTCTTCAGACCGCACAGAAAGGGAAGAGGTTTTGCTTAGATGAGGGAGGCTCCTATAAGTTAGTTATTCTGGAAGAATTTAGCCTTTTTTTTTTTCCTGGAGACGTTATTTCCTCAACCAGTAAATATGGACAAAGTATCTTTTGCGTAAAGACAGCATCTACTTGATTAAAATCTGTTACTGGTTTTTCAGCCCCGAGTTAACAGCCCATTTACTTATTCAGTTAATGCTTGTTGCATTTCTTTTATGCTGCAGGCACTTTTCTAGAAACTATAGAAGTGGAAAAAAGGTAGTTCTTTCCACAGTGGAGTTTACAATTTGTACAATCCATGACCGAAGAGAAAATACAGTCAGCGCCATGTAACTGAGATTAGCATCTGTGGGTTTAGCCAGAGAAAGAAGAATATTGGGGAAAATGAGCTGTTCTGGATGTGTATAGATGTTTTGTCTTGCATTACCAACACAAAAGAGTGTAAGAAGTGTTTACATAGCCTGAGATGCCTAGAGATGATTTAAAGATATGGGAAGTCGAGTGTATGTTATATGTAAATCCTATAGATGAGACTTAAGCATATATGGATTTTGATATCTTTTTCACTGGGTCCTAGATCCGGCATGTGCTGTTCATGAGAGAATTAGTAAACAGTATGAACACAATACAGTGGAACACAAAGAATTAAAAGTGCTAGAAGAAGAGAGCAGAGACTGTGTGTGTGTGTGTGTGTGTGTGTGTGTGTGTGTGTGTATCCATTCATCCCTTTGGCCTTGGGAAAAAAAGTCAGTATTAGAAAACTTAGCTTGCTGTGGTCACAGGACAGTCTTCACCCCTAGGGAATGTCAGTACAGTAATGAAAATGATCTGAAGGAGGAGGGGAAGCAGCTTGTTCCCTCTGTTTCTTCCCTATGTCTTCTTGATGGAATGTGGCTGTAGTGATTTGAGCACATTGTTGGGTTAGAAGGCATAGACTGAACATGGTGGAATGAAAGGGAAGTGGCCCAGGACTCTGAGCCTGGGCAAACCACACTAGAAGTTCTGCGTTAGTGGGAGAGCCAGGGGCTTCTTCTACACAAGAAATCGTCTGCTAATTTCAGCCACCACCTGTAGACAGAAGTTTCCCAAATAACCAACAGAGACTCATTGAAGATCTGGATATCAATCCACATACCTACGAACACCTGATTTTTGACAAAGAAGCAAAAATAAAATAAAATAAAACAAAGTAAAATAAAATGGAGAAAAGAATGGTTGTCTGAACAAGACCTTCACATTGTCACAAGCTGATATGCCAGCATAGATGGGGGGAATCTTACAATGCCCCACCATAGATGCATAGCTACAGGCAATCAGTGGCTGCCAAGGGAATCAGTTTTCATTAATCTCTGGTACAGTTGAACAACTACTAAGCAGATTAGATAGGCTTTGTGTATGTGTGTCTATGTATGTGTAGAACAGTAATTAGAGAAGGAGAGATCATGAATTTCAGAGGGAGTAGAGAGGTACAGTGGAGAAGTTATAGAAATACTGTGTTTACACATGACATTTTCAGAAAGTTAAAAAAAAATCCTCCTTGTTCATAGTGTTGTTGGGGTGGGAGAAATTCCCTTTTTTTCTTTTAGCTCATTCATGAAGATTTAAACCTTGAAGAGTACAATTTTTATTATCAAAAGCTCCCTTTTATTACCTTTCCCCAGAATGTGTATTTCTATTTTTTCCTGCCCCCAATTCTCAAGTTCTTATCCTCTTTTTGGTTCATGGGTTCAAGGTCTTTTCTCTCTGAGTTGTTAATTAGGAGTGGTTGTGCTCTTGCCGCCAGGGTTGGGAAACAGAATACAGCACTAACTGTGAGCTCGAGACACTCTCCTTCCAGGTGGCCCTCCTCTAACCTCACTGTCCAGATTTTTATTTCATCACTTCGATTTTTCTTTAAAATCCAATGTTGTATGTAATTCTCATTATTATATTGCTACTCTTTGTCAAATCTAGATTTCTGTTTAAGTTACGGGGGATTTTTTTTTATTGTTTTCACGTGATTCTTGTACTTTGGTTTAGGCTTTCAAAACTCACATTGATACAGCTGCAAGAATCTATTCATGTCTCTGTTTTAAACTATTCTATTACATGCACAGTAATGTAGAAGTATACATTATTTTTGTCAGTTTGATGATTATGAACAAAACTGTTGGAATTTCTTTGTAAATGTCTCCTCATTCTGACACACATGAGGGAGTTCATCTCTTCTAGACACTGTTAAATTCATAACGATTACTGTTAGCAAATATTGGGCTACCCCTTGAAGCACTCGCTATCTTGAACAAAAGGACTGTCAATAGCCACCAAGACTACCCTAATGCCAGCACCTGCCATCTCTATCACTTTGTCTCTGCCTTTAGAAAACTCGGACTTCTGAAAGTGTAGCCTGAACCAGGACATTTTTTTAAACAGTTTTTAACCAGGTCTTTTTACCCTCACAGTATAGATGAACTCTAGATGACCCTGTGTCCATTTCTGTCTGGGTCAGAGAGGACCCACTCCCCAAGGTAGCTTAATAGTGCTGAGGAGGTAAAGCTGTGATTGCTTTCAATTCAATGGCTATGATTGGTCTGGATGCCTCATCTCTGGTTGTATAAGAAGGCTGCTCAAATTTAGTGAATCCACTCAGTGCCACTTTTCTGTACTATCTCCCTTGGTGTTGCAAAATCAGACCCAATAGAGGCATCTCTTACTTGTTTCCATTCAGTGTTGTGAGTTCTGCTGGTTAATGCCAAGAAAGAGGCAGAGGAGACCTCAGAGTAACAGTGACAGCAGAGGGGCAGAAGGCAGGGAAGCTAAAGAGTTAGCAGGCGAGCTGTGAGGTAGGGGCCAGCTAATTGATGGTCCAAGAAGCACCTGAGAGTCTTGGCCAAGTAGAGGGATTCTAAGAAAGGGAGGAGAGTTGAGACAGATGAAGGATGGAACGATCCAGAAAACAGAAATGGTCACCAGGAGATTTCCAGAGAGCCATGGAGGTTTTAGGGATGAGGGTCTTAGATTGCAGGCTGAGAGCTGTATTGCTGGCTGGTGGTCAGATTCCAGGAGCCTAGATTCCTAGATTTACATAAAAAGTATAACACAAGCTGTCATTAGGGACTGAGGAATTGGGGTATTAGGCCTGACTAGAAGCTGCAATGTACCCAGAGCAATGCTTAGGAATTGGGCCTTCTGGGCCTACTCAAGCTGTAGCGCTTGCAGGGCCCAGGGTCCTGATTCTGGAG